AGCTGGGATAATGGTTGCCCCTGGGGATAGGGCCATGACTGGAAGGGGTTCAGAGAAGTGGGGATTTTAAGATATTCCTCATGGGGCACGTGGCTGGCTCAATTGGTAGAAGAAGTGACTTTTGATCTTGGGGTTGTGTGTTTGAGCCCCCACACTGGTGTAGAGATTCCTTAAAAAAACAAAATAAAGGAGACTGGATGGCTCAGTTGGTTAAGCATCTGACTTCAGCTCAGGTCATGCTCTCGGGATCCTGGGATCGAGCCCAGCATCAGGGAATCTGTCCCTCTGTCCCTCCCCCTGCTCGTCTTCTGTCTCTCTAAGAAACAAAACCTTAAAAAAGAAAAAAAAAAAGATGTTCCTCATGTTCTCTTTATTGTATACAGGTGTGTTCAGTTTGTGAACATTTAGGAGGCGTGCGGGTTTTTTGTGAGTACTCAATACACCAACAAATGTTTAAAAGAACACAGAAACTATATGCAATAAGACAACCTGACATACATTACGTGAAAAAAGCAAGCATGAGGCAAACACTTCCATTTGTGTAAAAAAAAAAAAGTAGGGAAATATATCTGTATTTTCTCATAAATGCATACAATACCTCTGGAAGGATGCTCAAGGAATTGACAACATCGGTTTTCTAAAGAGCTTCAGAGCCAAGAGACTTATTGCCCATTTGGTTGTACATTTTGGATCTCAAATCATGTGAATATATTACTTATACAATGAAAAGAAAGCACTCAAATTCTAAAAAGAAAAATAAAAGAAATTCTGTGATCTTAGGAAATATTCAGAAGTACTTAGAAAGAAAATAGGGAAAAAACACCAAAAGGTTATATATTGAAACTATAACACAGAAATCAGTGATGGGAAAGTGGGGGACATGGAGAACATTTGAGTCTTCTAAAATTGGACAGATAAAACTTTCTCTTTATGTTCACAACTTTATTTTTTTTAAGTTTATTTATCTTTTTTAGTAATCTACACCCAACATGGGGCTTGAATTCATGACCCCAAGATCAAGTCTTATGCTCTTCTGACTGAACCAGTCAGGCACCCCTACGTTCACAACTTTAATTATGATTTAAGACTAGTCACAAATTTTTTTTTTAAGATTTTATTTATTTGAGAGAGAGAGAACGAGCCAGAGAGAGCACAAGTGGAGGGGAGTGGCAGAGGGAGAAGCAGACTCCCTGCTGAGCAGGGAGCCCCATGCGGGCCTCGATCCCAGGACCCTGGGATCATGACCTGAGCTGAAGGCATATGCTTAACCAACGGAGCCACCCAGGTGCCCCACTAAATCAATCTTTAAGAAATAAATAAGACACGGGCGCCTGGGTGGCTCAGATGGTTAAGCGTCTGCCTTCGGCTCAGGTCATGATC